GGCTTAATCTGTTTTGTTCTAAAAATCACGTGGAAGCCTTGGTGTAGGATGGGTTACTTCCAGTTCAAGTTATGAGTATCTTAACGGTCAATTTCGAAACTACCGCGAAGAAAACAGTTCAGAGCAGAGACAAAAGATCTGAAGAGAATATCATTTTTATGTATTTTTAGTAAGCAGTAAAATGAAGGTGTCAGGTTGTTGCGGTTGAATTTGGGAGATGTTTATATGAAGCTGAAGAACTTGGGTTCTTGGTGATCATATTAGACAGTATCACTTAAAAGTGCTCGAATCTTATGGATAAGAAAGGAGGCGAGGAGTATATCCAGGAGGAGACGAGATATTGAGCACGTCGTGATATTTGTTGATGTAATCTGAATTATCCATAACAACCGGGGCATTGCCTTTATCTGCTTTTTAATTATGATGATGCAGTTTACTTTTAGATTTAGTGGATTCTGTTATGATCAGGTTAGGTTAAAGCGGTTTATTTTGAATTACTATACTTTCAGTGTTTTCTGTTAAGGGTTTTATGTTTTTATTAAGTTTATGGGCGACATGAATTTCTGTTGGATTTGTTTCAAGTAGGGAAAAGATTTATTAATGAAGTCACTTTATCACTAAAGTGTAAGCTTTTATGTAAAACATTAATCGGTCCTTAGACAGTTGGAACATGCTTTCAAAAATTAGTTTTGCTGTTACTGCTATCAGAGAGATTGTTAGGTCGTTTACTAAACAAGGTTTTAGTCTTCTTGAGAAGAAGGTTGTTTATTTTCTTTACGTGCACCGAACCATCTCGTATGAAGAAATTTTAGTCATGGGTGTGGAGATAATTCGGTAGGCTATCGTAAACTTCGGTGGAGACTGTTCTCCGCGACGTTCTTTTGATTCGGTTGATTTGTTGACTATATTGCAGTTGTTTCCTTGTATCTCTGATGCGTAGTCTCAGCAGCCTTTTTTCCATGGTCTTTAGTTACGGAATCCTTTGTCAGAGGTTTCGAAGGGCATATGAATTCGGAGAACTTTGGGTGTCAG